CTTCCACAGCAATTTCCTTAGTCAAATTATCATCATGTGACACCCACAAACTGGTCTCCTTCAGTCTTAGCCTTTACCAATCCATTCTAAACAGCAAGATGTCATTCCTTTGCTAAAAATCCTGCAATGGCTCCCCATTGTTCTCCGAATAAAATACAAAGTGCTTGACATGACACACACAGGTCCCTCATGATTTTGTCCCTTTAGATCTTTGGCATGTCATCTCTCTACCACGAGTTCTAGATCTACCGGACTATTTTCATTTCCTCAAAAGCTTCATACTCTCTGTTATCTATGACTCTGCAATACTACATCCTCTCTCTTCCCTCACCTGGCTAACTTCCAGTCTCCAAGGAGCCTTCCCAAATCCCTGAAGGCTGCTAACATGGTCTCCTATATCATTCCCATCACTGATCCATGCACTGTTTGATAACTACCTTTCTACTTTTTTCCACTATATGTCATTGGACCTGAAGGAAAGAGAATATATCTATAACTCTTTACAGTCCCTTTCATGCGGCTCTATGTACTTATATTCATAAACCAAACAACCCACTGCCATCAACTCAACTCTGACTCACAGTGACCCTAGAGGACAGAGCAGAACTGCCACATAGGGTTTCCAAGGTTGCAAATCTTTATGGAGGCAGACTGCCTCATCTTTCTCATGTGAAGTGGCTGGTAGGTTTGAACTAGTGACTTTCTGGTTAACAGCCCAATGCCTTAACCACAGCATCACCAGAACTCCTTTACATAAGTAAGCACTCCATAAATACCAAGTGGGTGATGCATGGATAGATGGCTAGAGAGGTAGGTGGGTGAGTGAAGTTTTTCTATGACAAAATTACAGAACTTGTCAAATTCTTTTTAAATTGTAGAAAAAGAATGATTGATGGAATTGGGAAACAAAATTATTTCTGATAGAAGACTGAGTTCTGAGTAAGAACAAGAAGCAAAGAAAAATGTAATCAAGATTGCGTGAAGTGAATAAAGAAAACTAAGTAAGTAAAAGGTCCTGGAAATTAAACCATTTGGAGAAAACTGCTGAAAAGCTTCTAAGCTAAAGATGAGAAACCTGGGCTCTGTCCATGCAGCAATGAAAGGAAGACAAAGAGAATAATTATCTGAGAAGCCCTTGAGAGAAAATACACATTCTGAGATCCAAGAACCCAAGGT